GAGCTGTCATCGCGATCCAGGATGCCAAGGGTAATGCTTCCCACCGACAGGGTCCTTTCTGGATGTACGCAGCATCGCTGCAAGTCCTGCCGCCCGACCGATGCCTGCAGCGCCTCCCGCGTTGAGTTGCTGCTCACCGTCGACAGCCGCCCGCTAGGTGGGGCGGACGAACCCGCCGACGACCGCGAAGTGCTTCGTCCACGTCTGCGCCCGCGGTCTTAGAAATCACCCGCCGGCGACGCTGTCGTCGAGGTCCAACTGTCGGAACTGAAAGGCCCCGGCTCCGTCTTTATCAGAGATGCGAGAGCCGCGGCTCTCCGCGGCGTCGCCGGAGCAGTATGGTTCCAAGACGTTGGCCTCGCGCGCGTGCTTGCCGCTGACGCCCCATGCCAGTGCCAAGCGCGTTTGCGTCGCGAGCGGCTCGATCGACGTCGCTGGGCCGGGCGCCGTCGCATCTGGCGTTGGCGCTCTCTGCGATGCGGCGAGCGAAGAAAGACGCCGTCGCGCCGCTGGCGGATCACCAACAGCCTGCTGTAATGGTGACAGACAGCTCGGCGACAAGTGGCGGCGACGTGCTCGACGTGGAGGATGGGGGGGGGCGAGCTCTGGCAGCCCTTCGTCGGGCGACTCGCCCTTGCTGGCTGGCGTGCGCATCGTGACTGGCGGCCAGCGCCGCGCGGTCGCCGGCCCGATGGCCGCGCGCGGCGTGCTCCCGTTCCACCTGGGGCAAGGTCCGCCGCCAAGCCCGTCGACAACGTGAGGGTGCGTCGCCACCTCGACAGTTTCTTCCCCCACCGACCTCCTCAACGAGATCTTCATTCTGCAGGGCCGTGGAGCCTTCGAGGCGCAGCGCGGCGGGCAGGCGAGCCTGCGCCTGGGCCCGGCGGCCCGCCCTGTCGCGCTTGGCCCGCGCGCCTGGGCAGCTTCGACGCGCTCGCCGAACTCGCGCGCCCCGTCGCCAATGGCGGCCCCGTCCCGTGCGACCTGAACAGCTCGCCGATGGCCATGCCCCTCGGGCGACGAGCCGCTCGGCAACTTCGAGCGCGCCCGTGCCCCCAGATGCCTCAGTCCGCGGGCCATGCCGACTCGCTTGACCGACAGCTCGGGATTGCAGCAAACGCGACCGACGCCGCGCTGTGCTTTGCCGGCCTGGACATCGCTGCAGCCTTCCCCGGCCTCTTGCGCGACTGGCTCTGGGAGGTCTTTAGCCGATGGTGCATCCTCGGGCCGGTGCTCGACCTCTCGCGCTCCTGCTGCCGCCTGCCCATCGGTTGCTTCGAGCCTGGCGGCGCCGGAAGGCCCCCCCCCCCATCGCTGAGTCTGGCGCGCCCGGGGCCCGCGCGCTCAGCAGCGCGATGTGGGCGCCCATCTTCGACCCGATCACCCGCTTTATCGAGCAGGGGATCGACGGCGTCGGGCGCGGCCTCGTCATCGCCTGCGCCGACGACATGGTGATCATCCTCGCCGCGCCCCGGGGGTTCGAGAAGCTGTTCCCGCGCGTCCATGCTGCCCAATTCTTCGCTGGACTGCATCTGCAGCCCAAGAAGTTCATCACTCGTGCCTACTTGGGCCCGGCGCCGTGAGTGCGTCCCAGGCCAGCCTCGTGTAATTTTACGAGTCATGGCCGTAATTCAAAGTCGCTAGCCATGCTCGATACCTCGGCGCCTACGCTGGCCCTGGAGCGTTTCTGATCACCCAGTGGCGCGCGTCAACAGGCAAGTGGTGGGATCGAGTTCAAATCCTGGGCGAACCGCGCGCCCCTCTGCAGCGTGGCACCAAGCCTTGCAACGTATCGGCCATCACCTGCCTCTCATGCATATGCCATCTGTGCCCACCTTCATCATTTTCACGTTCCGTAGCCATTTTGGCTCAAGCCGTATTGGCTGACAGACTTTGGCAAGCAGACCAGGGCACTGGCGCGAGGCCGTATCCCAGGCGCCCTGGGGCGAGATGACTGCGGACAACACCGCCGCGAACGGCTCCAGCTCCTCGGTATTCTACGGGCACGAGACGCTTGCCACGGTGGCCTTCCTTGTCGTCCTCGTCTTCGGTATTCGCTGGCTCCATGGCAAGCTCACCGATGGCGGGTTCGACTCGAAGAAGGGGGGCATCGAGATCGAAGGCGGCATGCGCACGAGGATCGACCACGGCGACTTATGAGTGCCAGGGCCAGGCGCAGTGCACGGTTTGCGCGGTGCAGAGCCGATGCTGCCGGCCCTCGGGCAGGCTGCCTCGAGTCGTGACCTGCGGGGCCGGGCGGTGCAATGCAGGCCCAGGGGAGGCGCGTGGGCCCGCCTTGCGGGCAGGGCCACGCGTTGCCCGGCGGTCGAGGCGCTCCTCTGAGGCTTTTGCTCGGGCACTGCGGGCGATTCTCTGGCGCTGTTCCTTGAAACAAAAAAAAACCTTCATCATTTTTCACGTCGAAGGATTCAGACGCCCTCGCCTGTTGCATCGAGATGCCCCCCTCGAATTTCACAAAGATGGCCACCTTCTCATTCTA